CAGAGGTGGGGGATTTTTTTATTGTTTTTTTGGTAGCTTGAGGGTTTTTGAGATCTTGCTCATTTCCTTGAGGTGACCTGTTGAGAATGGGTCTCTACAGGAAAACTGTATTTATGTAGGCTGGCAGTTCATGCTGCGTCATCTGCCATCTTCTTCGTTCAGTTAATGTCTGCTAAGGTACTCTTCACCCCTTCCTTAAGAGATCATACAGTCACAGAATGGTTTGGGTTGGAAGGGACCTTAGAGGTCATCCAGTCCCCCCCCCTGCCATGGGCAGGGACACCTCCCACTAGCCCAGGTTGCCCAAAGCCTCATCCAGCCTGGCCTTGAACCCCTCCAGGGATGGGGCATCCACAGCTTCTCTGGGCAACCTGGGCCACTGCCTCACCACCCTCACAGGAAAACATTTCTTCCTAATATCCAACCTAAATCTACCCTCTTTCTGCTTAAAACCATTCTCCCCCATGCTATCAGTACACTCCCTGATAAAGAGTGACAATTCAGAGACAAGGATGTCGTGCAAGACAGTGTCAAAGGCTTTGCATGAGTCCAGGTGGATGTTCCTTCAGTGACACATCTGTTGCCTTTGCAGTGTTTCCTGCGGATATTCGCCTGGTGACTTGGTCTGGGCCAAGATGGAAGGTTATCCTTGGTGGCCATGTCTCATATACAGCCATCCGACTGAAAGAACGATCATCAGAGGAAAAGGGAAATCCACGCGTGTCCATGTCCAGTTTTTTGATGACAGCCCTACGAGGGGCTGGGTCAGTATGAAATATCTGAGGCCATATAAAGGTAAGGTATATAAGTAACTCTTTTTGAAATAGAAAGATGCCATTTGTTTTGGAAAAACAGGCATGGAGTATAGGGTATGGTATTCTCCATAGAGAAAGAGCAGCAGAACCAAGTTTAGTATTGAGTGGGAAAGCAATGTTTTGTGCTTTTTAAGTTAGGGAGAGCAAGTTTTTGAGTTACAGGTGCGTTTATGGTTATACAGTTCTTTAAACATAAAACATTGCGCCCTCTTGTTTATTAGATTAGAATACAAACTTATGTTTTAAAGTTTTTTCCTTTATTTCTCCCACTAATATAAAAAAAGATCTAAAAGATAAATCCACTATTTCAGTTTTTAGCCCCAAAATCCTTAAAATATTAGGGATATCCAACTCAGTTTTTAAGCAGCTATTTGGGAACCGCAGCGTGTCCAGAATCAAAGGACTAGGCACAGGATGTTAGGTAACTAAAATTAATTCTACTGTGGTGTTATTTCTTTTAAGCAGTGCAGTACAGTTTTTTTAATAAAATATATAACTGGAGAATTCAGAGTGTTTGTTAGGGTAGTGCCTGTAGTTACAGAGCAGAGTTGGTGTTTGTCATCTTGAAGTGACTTGGCTAACTAATGAGCGTCAAATGTAATCAAGAATTAAAACAACATTTTGTATAATAAATCTCACCTTAGTAATAATTATGATCAGATTTCCCCTTGCTTTAGAATTTTTGTTGTTTATGATGTCAGTGAAAGAACTGAATTCAAACAGTTTCTTCTTTTTTTACAAGTCAGAGTTCCATCTCGTGTGATCATGTAGTCATCTTTTTTTGGCTTGTTTATCCTGAAATGTATGGCGCTTAAGCCATAGTTAGTTTTAAGTGAAAATGGTAATGCTGATACTGCGTTAGCGTCATTTAACACAAGTGAATTTGTCCATGGTTTATATGTGTCTTTCCTGAAGGTATTTTAAAATAAGAATCAAATATATTTTTCAGGTATCAATTCAGGTAAGGAGAATTGATCTGTTTACCAAGAAAAAATTGCAGCAAAATAAGAAGTGTTCAAAATGTTTAAGCACAGAAACACTGGGCTATCTACAAGAAATATGGCTTATGCAAAACCCAGTAACAATACATGCTTTGCATTTAAATTCAGATAAAATAATCTTTGTATACCAAGTAAGAGTGTTGGAGTCTTTGGGTAAGAAAACTGGAGAAGTTTCTGACTTTGTGTTACCATTTGTAACTAAACACAGACAGCACAGGGCCAGACTGCTGACTTACAAGAAGTGGAGTGTTACGTACAAGCTGGTTAAGTGAATGTACAGGTGATGCACGCTTGAGTATGCAGTTAAATTGTGTGATATTTTTCTCCTGCTACTATTCAATTGTCAATATTAAAGTATTTTTAGATGGTCTCACTGCATGTGCAGAACTGAAAGGGAGTTAACGTGTTGCATCTGCGCTGTAGCTACTTGTAACTCCAGGCTTTGCTGCTGCGAGGTCAAAGAAATCCACGGGAGAAGGAATTCTGTTTGGCCTCTTTCTGAGGTGGTTGGCCTCCTACGAGTCAGCTGCCTTTTGCCTGCCCTGGATGTGGAGCTGAGGCTCCGATTGGGCTGTAGATGGTTGGCTTTGTGTCTTCATGGACAGACTGTGGAAGGAGGAACTGTGCTGCTGAAGGGATGTGAAAGAGGATGAGGGAGCGGTGGAGTTATTAATAGCGGGCTTTGCTTGATACCTGGCAGTGTCAGGGTGAATTGCCAGCGTGGCCGGCGATCAGCTAATCTGGCTAATGAGCTGGCGTTGGGTCTGGGTGCCTGGCTGCGCTTACAGGAGGAGTTTGAGTGGCTGGCGGAGCTTTAGCCCAGAGGTGCATGGCACAGATGGCTGATGCCCGTCCCTTGAAGATAACGTTTTGGTTGAACTTATCTCTTGTTGCTACAATAGCCGAGTGGTCTGAGGTCCGCTGCACTGCTCGTATAGAGTGGTGCTTCTCAGTGGTAACTATAACGCGAGGGTGTTGGGAGCTTCGCTTTAAAATGTTCCGATGTGGAAATGAATCACTGAAATAGAAGCAATTCTTCAAGTGTTCACAGACTAGGCGGGCATTTAATTTGCAAGTGTTTATACCTTCTCTAGGGGTAGTTTATCACGCTGAATGAGTGACAGGTTGCTGTATTTAAGATGTGGGAACGACTGGTAACTACACAATGTTAGGTACTTATACTGGTTGTCTGAACACATTTAAAAGTGAAGTAGGAACGCTCTCTGAAGGACTGGCTAAATGCCAGACTAACTTCCGTTTCTGACAAATTATTTGTCGTTTCACAGGTTCATCAGACGGGGAGACACTGAAGGGAGGTATGTTTTATAATTTCTGACAAATTATTGGTGGTTTCACAGGTTCATCAGACAGGGAGACACTGAAGGGAGGTATGTTTTATAGTACAAAGCCTGAAATTAAAAGAGCAATGGCGCTAGCAGACGATGCAATGAGTAAAGATAAAATGAAGCGGCTTGAACTGGCAGTATGCAGTGAACCGTCGGACACTGAGGACGAGGAAGAAATGGAGGTAACTTTTTCACTGGCTGTCATTTTCAGAAATAGTGCTAGAACTTAAACTGTCTCTTGGAGCTAAGCATGGAATATCCCGCAATTCCCGGCACAGTAATCACGGCTTATCTGCTCTTCAGTCATGCATGCACATGTATCCCTGTGTGTTTTTTTGGTACTGCTTCTGTGTTGTCAGGTCATATGCTGGTCTCTCACCTTGTCTAGGGAAAATTTAGTACTGAAAGGCTGCAAAACCTAATCACATTGGAAGAAATTCCAGCGTGGAGTTAGCTTATGGAGGCATTCTTCCTTTGTGCTGGATTTCATATACCATGTGCCTTTTTTCATCAGCGTCGCTTAGGCAAAGTAACGAATGAAGCTGTAAAGAATACAAAGAGGAGTGATCATGCGACTGGCTGGTAGCAGTCCCTTATCTGAGAAAAAAATAAATTCTGTGAAGGTAAATGGAATTGGCTGTGGCTCTACTGTCTCTTGCTTGAAGTGTCATAGCTACTGCATTATTGCACATTTTTTGTGCTGCTTTTGCAGCAGCAATACTCTACTTTGTAGCCAGAAATTCTTACAGGTAAAATAATTAATTTTTCCAGCAGGTGAGTGAAAGTGCATCAGGCAACAGTGATGACTGCAATAGCGAGGAGGATGTGAAGAGTAATAAGCGAGGAACAAGCAGGGAAAGTGCCATAAAAGCCAAAAGAAGAAGAGTGTTGGATTCTCACAGCGATCGTGATGGCTCTGACGTAGAGTTTAAACCTGATGTGAAAGAGGCGGCAAGCAGCGAGGAGGCTAGTAGTGGGGTGGATGAAAATGAATCTACTGACACGGAGACAGATGCAGAATCTGTTGCAGAAAGTCCCGTGAAAGTCCCTTCCAAACGAAAGAGAAGAGAGAGAAGCAAGCCTGCTAAAAGGAGTAGCTTAGAAAACGAACGTTCTGAAACACCCAAGAGAGCAGCAACGTTTTCTTCAGAAGCCAAGTCTAAGCTGACATCCTTTGCAGCACCTGAAAATTTTGAATCTCAAGCAAGTGCTTGCAGTGGAGGCATCGGTGGCTTCGCCGTATGGGAACACGAGAAGATTGACTGGCTGCAGGAAGGGAAAAAGAAAGACGCGCACAGAAGACGGCAGAGTGACCCCGGTTATGACCCGTGTACTCTGTACGTGCCTGAGGACTATCTCAACAAGTGCACGCCGGGAATGCGGAGGTGGTGGCAGCTGAAAAGTCAGAACTTTGATGCTGTGATTTGCTACAAAGTTGGAAAGTTCTACGAGTTGTATCACATGGATGCAGTCACTGGCGTGAATGAGTTGGGCCTGATCTTTATGAAAGGTACTTGGGCCCATTCGGGGTTTCCAGAAACTGCGTTTGGCAGATTCTCTGATGTTCTAGTGCAGAAGGGCTACAAGGTGGCCCGTGTTGAGCAAACGGAAACTCCCGAAATGATGGAAACACGCTGCAAGTCCATGGCCCACGCAACGAAATTTGACAAGGTTGTGCGCCGAGAAATATGCAGAATCATCACCAAAGGAACTCAGACTTACAGCATCATGGATTGTGACCCCTCGGAGAACCACAGCAAATACCTTCTGTGC